CTGGGTAACAAGAGTGAAACTCCGTCTCAAAAAAAAAAAAAAAAAAAAAAAAAAAAAAAAATTATCGTGCATTAAACAAGGGCAAAACCAAAAATCTTTTGGTAATAACTAGATAGCATGATTATACAGATCATAATTCCCCTGAAAATTCAAGCTGGTCATGATTTCACTGTTATATGAAATACAGGTTCTGAAGTTTAAATACAAATTTCCCTTGAGAGTTTTAATTCACGACTTTAAGCAACTAAAAATTAAACTATAAATCTCAATTATTTGGGGTTTTATCCTTCCAGCTACTAAGCAGGCAAAATAATGTTAGTATGTGGCAAGTTTTATTCATTAACTAAAATATGGAAAAGCTAAGATACAAAGATCGGACTAAAACCACAAGATTTTGTGGCAAAACAGCAACTAGTCTACTCAAAAATCTTTCACTTTACATGAAGTGGCTTATTATAAAAAGAAAATCCATACACAATCAAAGCCAGCAAGGTACCATAGAGCTGAAAGGCTATAAACAGGTGGTGCTAATAATATTGCTGCTTCCTTGACATATATCTAGGATACCTGCCCCTCCCTGCTCCCCTGCCGTGATTCTTGATAGTTTACATGGCATGTAAAAACATAGGGGACACTAAAGGGATCTGGAATGGTCTATATGATGCTGGGAGATCTTCGTCATATTTGTGGTCCCAAACCATCTCTCAAAAAGTTCTCTACAACAATGGCAATCTGCATTAGGGCTGCCTGGTATAATGCCAGGCAATGAACTCCTGCTTATATACCTCTTCTCCAAATCCTATCACGGTCCATGGAATCCTTTCCTGGACACTAAATCTCCTTTGAAGAACTCATTTTGTTTCCTTATTTGGTCATCTTCCTATTATAAAAGCTTTTTTTTTTTTTGAGACACAGTCTTGCTCTGTTGCCCACATTGGAGTGCAGTGGTGCAATCTTGGCTCACTGCAACCTCCACCTCCCAGGTTCAAGCAATTCTGCCTTAGCAATTCTCTACACCTTAGGAATAGGTGGGATTACAGCTGCCCACCACCATGCCCAGCTAATTTTTGTATTTTTAGTAGAGATGGGGTTTCACCATGTTGGCCAGGGTGGTCTCAAACTCCTGACTTCAAACGATCCACCCACCTCAGCCTCCCAAAGTGTTGGATTACAGGAGTGAGTCACTGTGACTGGTCTATACACTAGCATTTTATGCCTTAATTCTAGACTTTACCTGCAACCCTTCAGCCTAACATATCTACTGATGTATCTCACTTCTACAACTCTGAACTCCAGCAATTCTTCAAAGACTTATCCAAAGCATCCAAAATCTGCTTTTGAACTTCAATTACTAACAATCACAATCTAGGTATGTTCAAACATGCTTCTCAGTAGGGAGATCCACTACCCTTCTGTTTATAGGGACTATAAACTTACATACATAGCGAAATTATGTTTTTTTCCTTTGTACCCACTCCTTCCTTTCAGATTCTCCTGCCTTTTTGCTATATAGGCAATTTTTGCTTGAAATACATCTTTACCATTGGTCTTCTTCCCAGAAGTCATTTACTCTGTAATGATTTCCGAATGATGCCAGGAGGTCATATTGCATGCTGTTTGGTGACTGTCATAATCTGTCTTCCAAACTCTAAAATGACTTCCTCATTTCCACCTTGACTTTCAATGCATTTCATTCACTGTAAGAATGAACAGTTCCTTAAAAAACCACCCAGGTGGCCGGGTGCGGTGGCTCACACCTGTAATCCTAGCACTTTGGGAGGCTGAGGTGGGTGGATCACCTGAGGTCAGGAGTTCAAGACCAGCCTGGCCATCATGGTGAAACCCCATCTTAACAAAAAACACCCAGGTTAGCCGGGCGTGGTAGCTCTATAATCTGCGCACTTTGGGAGGCTGAGTTGGGTGGATCACCTGAGGTCAGGAGTTTGAGACCAGCCTGGCCAAAATAGCAAGACCCCCCCAACCCCTGTGCGTCTCTACTAAAAACACAAAAAAATTAGCCTGGAGTGGTGACAGGCACCTGTAATCCCAGCTACTCAAGAGGCAAAGCTGGAGAATTGCTTGAGTCCAGGAGGAGGAGGTTGCAGTGAGCTGAGACTGTGCCACTGCATTCCAGCCTGGGTGACAAGAGAGAAACTCCATCCAAAACCACCGCCACCACAAAAAACACCCAAGGTATTTAGGGTCCTGAAAGGCTCCTTCTTCTCACTCCATTTCCTGGGTTGCTCACTTCTTCCTTCCAGAGCGTTTGAACTCCTTGTCATTGATTTTGAATTTTTAGTGTAAAATCTTTTTTTTTTTTGAGACATAGTTTCGCTCTTGTTACCCAGGCTGGAGTGCAATGGCGTGATCTCGGCTCACTGCAACCTCCTCCTCCTGGACTCAAGCAATTCTCCTGCCTCAGTCTCCCGAGTAGCTGGAACTACAGGCACGCACCACCATGCCCAGCTAATTTTTGTATTTTTAGTAGAGAAGGGGTTTCACCATGTTGACCAGGATGGTCTTGATCTCTTGACCTTGTGATCCACCCACCTCGGCCTCCCAAAGTACAGGGATTACAGGCGTGAGCCACTGCGCCCGGCCTTAGTGTAAAATCTTAACAGTAATTGTTTCTGGTTTGTTAAATTTCTAGATCCTTCATAAGGCTCAATCCATGTTCGATTGTTTATTATTTCTCATAATTCCTTCTTACCAGGCCACGTCTTCAACACAATTATGGCAAAAATGCATTTTCCCCTATTCATCAAAAAGCAAAAAAAGTCATTATTGTATTTTATTTTATTAGAGACGGAGGTCTTGCTGTTACCCAGACTGGAGTGCAGTGGCACAATCACAGCTCACTGCAGCCTTAAAATCCTAGGCTCAAGTGATCCTCCGGCCTCAGCCTCTGAAGTACCTAAGACTACAGGCGAGTGCCATCACACAGTGGCTAATCAAAAATTTTTTAGAGAGATGGGGTCAGGCTGGTCTCAAACTCCTGGTCTGATATAATCCTCACACTTTGGCTTAACACCTAAATTTCTTCACTTCAAGCCCTAGTTAATCTATTCTTCAAAGCCCATTTCAACACATCTTTTCAAGCAAATCATTTCAAGTTTTACTAGTTAAGAGTTTAAAGTGAAAGCAAACATTTCTTAAATCAAAGTGCACATGTCATAATGCTTAATTTATTCAAGAGCAGAACTGTTTTCTGCCTCCTTCCCCAATTCATTTAGCACAGTGGTGGACACTTTGTTGATGGGTTATCAATACATTTCGTTGATGAATCAGTTTCCCATTTACAGTCTTGTCATTTCCTGCACACTATCACCTAAGTAACCTTAGAAAACAGACCTTTATGTTATCAAACACCAACAATCGAAGATGTTTCCTCATGGATTACGGTGAAATCCCTCTGATTATAGCTGCCACTTACTGCCTAAGCCAAATGCTTTACATTTATTATCTCTAATCTTCCTTTTCTACATAAATGAGGAAACAGGTTCAGAGACGTAACTTGCCCATAGATAGAGGTGGAATCAGGATCTGACTTAGGTCTAACTGGCTTTAACACCCACACTTTGCCCACAAAAGTTACTCTGTTAATTTCGTTGGGCTCTGAAAAAAATTCGAGTTTTAACTTTCATATATAGAATATACATACAATAACAACTACTCCCCAATTTAGCATATCCTTAAGAACTGGACGTTCTACTGTATAAAAGTAATTTTCTAAGCTTTTTACTGTAAAAGAAATCAGGACTTTACTAAAGATGTCGTCAGAAAGAAGGCGATTCTTCCTAACAATTTGAACTGGCTTTATAAACTCAGTCATATGAGAATATAGTAGCTATCAATTTTTCTCAAATGTGAAACTCGGGTAACTTCCAAAATGTTTCAGGAGTCATTTGCTAGTATATGACACTAGGGAGTAAACTGTAGCTATATTAGACCTGTTGCAAAGTAGAGGGATTTTTTTAAAGCCAAGAGTTCTTTAACATCCAAGGTTTGGTGCCCGAAAATGTTTCCCCCCGGTCATTTTAATTTTATATCCATGCCTTCCAAGCACTACCTAACATTTCCTGGTTCCCAGTTTTCCCCGTTGAGTATTTTTTCCAGGCCTGATTCCTCATCTGTTTTCTCTGAAACCTGTAGCTCATGCTGGGCCTATTTTTGCCGAAGTAGATTAAGAATACAAAGAACAGATCATACGCTGGGGGAGGAGGTTAACAACGTCGTCTCCGTCTGCGTTAACCGGACGCAGACACTAGCCAGGGTGGCCACTATTCTAACAAATTCTACAACGACAAAGCAATTTTTCTGCAAGTTGGAGAACGGAAACCACAGCGTGGAAACGCTGCACGGAGTCTTAAAGATAAGGAGTTAAGACTTGCTTACTTCAGAGGGAACACTGAAGGCTTTCAGCACGGCAAGGCCATACTTTCGAAACTGTCACTAGACTACTCAAACTGGAGTCTCCCGCCCAAAAGAGTGTGGCACATGGCTAAAATGGGCCTCCCTCCAGCGCTCCTGTCCCCGGGAAAGACGCAACGTGACTGTCTGATCCATGAGACTGGGGAAGAGGTGAAAGGGAGCAGGAAATCCTGTTTATTTCCAGCAGTCTGCAGAGCGGGAAAGGTTAGTCTCGACCCAGAGACAAACCAGCCTCCAGTCCCGGGCCTAGGAAGGGAAAACCCAGGTCTCCCGAGCGCCCTGGAGCTGTGCCCTCCCGCCCGGAGCCCCAGCCCCACTCGGGCTTTCCTTCTCCCCGTCCCACTCAGGGCCTCACCACAGCTCCCATTATGCCTCTACCACCCCCACCCGCGCAGGCGCAGTGGGAACCGGGGCCTACCCGCGCCCCCGAGGCGCCGCCACTATGGCGGAGCCTGGCTAGGCCGGTAGCCGCTCCGCGCGGACCAGGCGTCCCTCTACCGTCCCCGCGGCCTCCCCACCACCGCTAGGACCTGTCCCCGCCCGGCCGGCCCCTCTTCCGTCCTCCTCACCCGTTCTTCAGATCCACCTCCAAGATCTTCCCGTAGCCCTTAAAGAAGCGCTCCACATCGCGCTCCCGGGCCTGGTAGCTCAGGCGGCCGATATACACCCGCGGCATCCCGGCAACGGCGGTGGTGGCTGGCCCTGGCCCCAGCCCCCCTTAGGCGGCGGCGGGCAAAGCGAGAACGCGGCGGCAGCGACGGCGGCGGCAATGGGCGGGCGGCGGGACGGACGCAGCCGAACCCCGGCGACGTACGCAAGCACGCAGCTCGCGAGCGCGCGCCTCCGCTTCTCCCGCCCTTCCCCTAGGCGGAGGGTAACCGGAGGGAGCGCGCGTTTGCTTCCCGCCCAGGCAGGGCTAGGGGAGGAGCTTGCCCGGGGGCGCGCCGACGTGGGGCGGGGCAAGGTGATCGACGAGCGGCGTTGCAGCACGTTCTCGCGCGAGCTCGCCGAAGAGGCGCCTGCCCCGCCTTCCGCAGCTCGCTGTCTCTGCCCCTCCCCCGGAAGTGTCCTCCCCTTCCCCGGAAGTGTCCGCACCTCCCAGGGCCCAGCGAGCGAGGGTTCCTGCTTTTGTCCTTTGAACCGGGTGTGGTTTGGACTTTGGAGCCGGAGCCTTGGAATCAAACCTGGCTTCCAAACGATTGTGTACCGGTGACCTTGGGCTCGTTACGCGCGATGTCTCCTCCTTTATCTTTTCTGTAAAAGGGGTAGAGTAGTTCCTACCTTCCAGAGTTTTCTTGAGAATTATAAGAGAATACGTACATAAAGCAGTTAGTAGTTTTGTTATATCAAGTGCCCAATAAATGAGACCAGTATTATTTTTGTTGTTGTTGTTTTTTTTTTTTTTTGAGACGGAGTTTCGCTCTTGTTACCCAGGCTGGAGTGCAATGGCGCGATCTCGGCTCACCGCAACCTCCGCCTCCTGGGTTCAGGCAATTCTCCTGCCTCAGCCTCCTGAGTAGCTGGGATTACAGGCACGTGCCACCATGCCCAGCTAATTTTTTGTATTTTTAGTAGAGACGGCGTTTCACCATGTTGACCAGGATGGTCTCGATCTCTCGACCTTGTGATCCACCCGCCTCGGCCTCCCAAAGTGCTGCGATTACAGGCTTGAGTCACCGCGTCCGGCCCAAGTAGTGTTTTAAATAATTTTAAATGGAAGCAACAGGTCGAGTTCTCTTTGATTTTTTTTTCTTTTTTGTAGATTTAGATGATTTGATCCAAAATGGTAGTAGATCTTTAAATCATTTTTGATCTCTTACATAGATGTTGTTTTTGTATTTAAGACATCTCAGCCTGCTTGAGCCACCGCGCCCGGCCGAGACCAGTATTATTTTTAAGAGAGGACACTTTGCTTAAATAGACGCAGTGCGAGAAGCGGAGAAGGCTGGAGCTTTGGAGCTAGACCAGGCACGACACCGAATAAAGTACTTGACCACAATCCAACCTATTTTTTTTTTTTTGCATGCCTTCCCATGGCAATCCAACCTATTTTCTAATCTGTAAAATTATAATTTATATCCATCTCAGTGGTTTTCACAGGTCACTAAATGGGATAGTGTATGTTAAAGTACTTGGAACAGTGTCTGAAACATGGTAGGAGCTCAAATATTGGTTCCCTTCTCACTAACTCCATGTACCTAGAACCACAAAGGGTTTTATTTCTTTGCTTTTGTTTTTTGAGTATTTTGAAAAGATAACTCAAGGTTCAAATGACATACAGTGAAAAGTCTTCGCTGTCCACCAGCCACTTAGTTTCTCTTCCCAGAGGCAGTTTCTGATATATCCTTTAGGAGGTTAGTTTACCCTTATAAAGCAAATAGTAGGATACTATACATACAGTTCTGCACAAAACATATTTTGAAAATCATTTCATAAGAGTACAGAAGTACTATTTTTATGGCTCCTACCATTTTATACACAGTAATTTATTTAGCCAGTGCCCTAGTGAAGGACATTGAAATAAGTCCCAATCTTTTGTTATTACACTGCTGCAGTAACTTTGCATATATATATATATACATATGTGTGTGTGTATGTATAGCATCTATTCCTAGAAGTAGGCAATTTGGGTCAGAGTTTTGATGGATATTGCTCAATTCCCCTTAAGTGCCTGTTTCATCGTATCCTCATCACACTGTGTTATCAAACTTTTTGATCTTTGCCAATCTGAGAGGTGAAGAATGTTATCTCCAGGTGGTTTAATTTGCAACTACCTTATTTTGCAGAAATATGAGTCTCTCTTCATATGTTTGAGACATATTTTCCTTTCTGTGTCTGTGTGTACCCTTCCCCCATTTTTCTTACTCATAGGTGCTCATTATATATTTGGAAAATCAGCTCTTTGTCAAATGAGTTGCAAGTATTTTTTCCGTTTGTTGTTTGACTTTTGACTTTGCCAAGAGTGTTTTTTTGTTTATTTTGAGATGGAGTCTTGCTCTGTCGCCTGGGCTGGAGTGCAATGGCATGATCTTGGCTCACAGCAAACTCTGACTCCAGGGTTCAAGCAATTCTCCTGCCTCAGCCTCCCAAGTAGCTGGGATTACCGGCATGTGCCACCACACCTGGCTTACTTTTTTTGTATTTTTAGTAGAGACTGGGTTTCACCATGTTGGCCAGGCTGGTCTCGAACACTGACCTCAGGTGATGCACCTGCCTTGGTCTCCCAAAGTATTAGGATTACAGGTGTGAGCCACTGTGCCCAGCCTATTCTACTTTTTTAGAGATGGAGTCTCATTATGTTTCCCTGTCTGGTCTTTTTTTTTTTTTTTTGAGACGGAGTTTTGCTTTTGTTACCCAGGCTGGAGTGCAATGGCGCGATCTCAGCTCACCGCAACCTCCGCCTCCTGGGTTCAGGCAATTCTCCTGCCTCAGCCTCCTGAGTAGCTGAGACTACAGGCACGTGCCACCATGCCCAGCTAATTTTTTGTATTTTTAGTAGAGACGGGGTTTCACCATGTTGACCAGGATGGTCTTGATCTCTTGACCTCGTGATCCACCCGCCTCGGCCACCCAAAGTGCTGGGATTACAGGCGTGAGCCACCGTGCCCAGCCCTGTTTGGTCTTAAACTACTGGGCTCAGGCCGGGCACCGTGGCTCACACTTGTAATCCCAGCCCTTTGGGAGGCTGAGGCAGGCGATCACCTGAGGCCAGGAGTTTGAGACCAGCCTGGTCAACATGGTGAAACCCCATCTCTACTAAAAATACAAAAAATTAGCCAGGTATGGTGTTGCACACCTGTAATCCCAGCTACTCCAGAGGCTAAGAAAGGAGAATGGCTTGAACCTGGGAGGTGGAGGCTGCAGTGACACGAGATAGTGCCATTGCACTCCAGCCTGGGCAACAAGAGTGAAACTCCATCTCAGAAAACAAACAACCGGGCTCAAGCAATCCTCCCTTCCCCAACTCCAGTGTTGAGATTACAGGTGTGAGCCACTGCACCCAGCCTCCTATTTTTTATTTTATTTCTAAAATTTAATTTAATTTTATTTTTTGAGACACCTGGCCATAATCTTTAATTCATTTGGAATTCAGTAAGGTGTGAGGAACATAACATTCTTTTATTTTTTTTTTAATTATTATTATTTTTTTAAATAAAGACAGTGTTTCACCATGTTGGTCAGGCTGGTCTTGAACTCCTGACCTCACGTGATCCGCCCGCCTTGGCCTCCAAAGTGCTTGGATTACACATAATATTCTTTTTTTTTTTTTTTTTTTTTTTTTTTTTTTTTTTTTGAGATGGAGTTTCGCTCTTGTTACCCAGGCTCGAGTGCAATGGCGCGATCTCGGCTCACCGCAACCTCCGCCTCCTGGGTTCAGGCAATTCTCCTGCCTCAGCCTCCCGAGTAGCTGGGATTACAGGCACGTGCCACCATGCCCAGCTAATTTTTTGTATTTTTAGTAGAGACGGGGTTTCACCATGTTGACCAGGATGGTCTCGATCTTTCGACCTCGTGATCCACCCGCCTCGGCCTCCCAAAGTGCTGGGATTACAGGCTTGAGCCACCGCGCCCGGTTCATAATATTCTTAAGAACTAACAATTGGCCGGGCATGGCGGCTCACTCCTATTACAGGAGATCGAGACCATCCTGGCCAACATGGTGAAACTCCGTCTATACTAAAAAATACAAAAATTAGTTGGGCATGGTGGCGTGCGCCTATAGTCCCAGCTACTCGGGAGGCTGAGGCAGGAGAACTGCTTGAACCCAGGAGGTGGAGATTGCAGTGAGCTAAGATTGTGCCACTGCATTCCAGCCTGGCACCTGGCAACAGAGCAAGACTCTGTCTCAAAAAAAAAAAAAAAAAAAAAATTAGCCAGGCATGGTGGTGCATGCGGAGATCACGCCATTGCATAATTCCAGCCTGAGCAACAAGAGCAAAACTCTGTCTCAAAAAAAAAAAAAAAAAAAAAAAAGAACTAGCAATCTGGCCAGGGCAATATGGCAAAACCCTACCTCTTAAAAAAAAAAATTAGCCAGGCATGGCAATGCATGCCTGTCTTCCCAGCTACTTGGGAGGCTGGGGTGGGGGGATCTCCTGAGCCTGGGGAGACTGAGGCACGGTGAGCTGTGATCATGCGACTGCACTCAAGCCTGGGTGACAGAGACCCGATCACACACACACACACACACACACACACACACGCGCGCACGCGTGCAGCTGAAAACCACCAAAACAAAAATCCTAGCACTAAGCGTGGTCTTTTTTTTCCCCTGGATTGTTATATTAACCTATTGTACAGATGGGAAAGAGAGCCCTCCAGAGGGGAAATGCGTGTCCCTAAAACCTGCTCCTCCTTTCCCAATGCAAGTGGCACCACTATCACCAAGGTGCCAAAGTTCAACCTTCAGCTACCACATTCAGTCTGTCCTTCTGATTATTCCTTCCTTCTAAATACTCACAAATTCATCCCTTCTTTCCATTCCCACCTCCTAAACGAGTTCAGGCCTCATCAGACTGTTCACAGTCAGGGCTTTTATCTGTGCTACTGCCTCTGCCTGGAATACTGACTGGCTCCTTCTCATTCAGGCCTCAGGCCTTCCTCGTCCACCTTATCTCAAATGCTGTCTGTGGTATTTCACGACACTTACTACAGTCTGTAATTACTTTATTTATGTGCATGGTCTTTCTCCACCACTGGAATGTAAGGTATGGGGCCATGTTTTTTCTTTCCTGCTCTATCCCTAGCACCTAACAACAGTGCCTTTCACATAGTGTTTAAAATATTTATTGAATGAATACATAAATAATCTCTTACCTGGACTACTTCAATACCCTCCTGCTTCTGCCTTTTTCTCATGCCTCCCCATGAGACACAGACTCAGGGAAATTTGAACTCTCTTAAAGTTGACATGTCAATAATAAAATCAAGGAGTCTTGAGAAGAGGGGGACTTCCAAGGCCACCTGTGTGGCCAAAAGAATTGGGACTGTCTGGGTAGTGACCAGACATGGTCAGGGGACCTGGCTTCTTGTGTCAGCTCTGCTGCCTGCTGTGTGATCTGGAACAACTCACTTTACGTCTCTCAGAGGCTGCTGCTTCTGTAAAGTGGTGACATTAACATATCAATGACACGGGAAAGTTGTAAGAAGCTTTCTTCTCTTTCAGAAGGTGCCAGTGTCTCCTTTCCACTTACCTTTCAGCTAGCCCTGCTGTCTTCCCAGGAATGTTCCTGCCTTCCGATGAGAGCAGATGCTGTACCAGGACTGAGCCTTCTCTTCTCCACCATTTCCAGCTGCTCTGGTTTGGTCTAGTGCTCTATTCAGGGCACGGTGCCTGACAATAAGCATGGGGTTGGAGGGTGTTCTGAGTTTCCATGCACAAGGACAGCAGTGCCTGGCACACATCGTTAATGCAAGAGCTTCTTTGCTTGCTTGTTTACTTCCTGCCTTCCTCTCTCCCTCCCTTCCCTCCCTCCTCTTTTTCCCTCCTTCCTTCCTTCCTTCCCTTCCGTGTCTCTCTCTCTCTTTCTTGACACTGAGTCTCACTCTGTTGCCCAGGCTAGAGTGCAGTGGTGTGACCTCGGCTCACTGCAACCTCCAAATCCTGGGTTCAAGTGATTCTCGTGCCTCAGTCTCCAGAGTAGCTGGGACTATGGGTGTGAGTCACCACACCTAATTTTTTTTTGGATTTTTAGTTGAGATAAGGTTTCACTGTGTTGGCCAGGCTGGTCTTGAACTCCTGACCTCAAGGTGATCTGCCCACCTCAGCCTCCCAAAGTGCTGGGATTACAGGAGTGAGCCACCGCACCCGGCTGCAAGAGTCTTTTTTTTCTTCTTCTTCTTCTTTTTTTTTTTTTTGAGATGGAGTTTTGCTCTTGTTACCCAGGCTGGAGTGCAATGGCGCGATCTCAGCTCACTGCAACCTCCGCCTCCTGGGTTCAGGCAATTCTCCTGCCTCAGCCTCCTGAGTAGCTGGGATGACAGGCATGCATCACCATGCCCAGCTAATTTTTTGTATCTTTAGTAGAGACGGGGTTTCACCATGTTGACCAGGATGGCCTCAGTCTCTTGACCTCGTGATCCACCCGCCTTGGCCTCCCAAAGTGCTGGGATTACAGGCGTGAGCCACCTCGCCCGGCAAGAGCTTTTTTCTTCTGAGCTTCAGTCTTCCCCTGAGGAAAGTGGGTATAATTATCTTCCAAGATAGAATATACTTATCAATATGTGTGTGTGTGTATACATATATATATATATATATATATATATATATATTTTTTTTTTTTTTCCTCTGCCTCCTAGGTTCAAGCAATTCTCCTGCCTTAGCCTCCCAAGTAGCTGGGACTATGGGCTCATGCCACCAGGCTAAGCTAATATATATATTTATTTATTTTTTGAGACATAGTTTTGCTCTTGTTGCCCAGGCTATAGTTCAATGGCGTGATCTCAGCTCACCGCAACCTCTGCCTCCTGGGTTCAAGTGATTCTCCTGCCTCAGCCTCCCAAGTAGCTGGGACTACAGGTTGCATACCACCACGCCAAGGTAATTTTTGTATTTTTAGTAGAGACGAGGTTTCACCACGTTGGCCAGGCTGGTCTGGAACTCTTGGAGAGGCCAGATATTAAGGGGCCTCAAGGATCATGCGAAGGATTTGTTTACCTTTTTTTCTTTTTTTTTTGCAACAGAGTCTCTCAGCCTTCCTAGTAGCTGGGATTACAGGGGCCTGCCATCATGCTTGGCTAACTTTTATATTTTTAGTAGAGACGGGTTTTACTATTTTGGCCAGGCTGGTCTCAAACTCCTGACTTCAAGTGATCTGCTTGTCTTGGCCTCCCAAAGCTGTTGGGATTACAGGAGTGAACCACTGCGCTCGGCCTCCATTTACCAATGTTATGCAGCAGCTATAGATAGTCTTCTGGGTGGATGGTCCCAGAAGAGGACAGGAAGGGGTGGCAGAGTCATGAAGCTGCAGGGCTTCAAGTAAGCTCAAGCTTTTGTTTAGGAGGTAATGCCTATTTATCTTCTTTTTTTTGGAGATGGAGTCTTGCTCTCTCGGCCAGGCTGGAGTGCAGGAGCACGATCTCAGCTCACCGCAACCTCCAGTTCTCCTGCCTCAGCCTCCTGAGTAGCTAAGATTACAGGTGCACACCACCATGCCCAGCTAATTGTATTTTTAGTAGAGACAGGGTTTCACTATGTTGGTCAGGCCAGTCTTGAACTCCTGATGTCATGATCCCGCCTTGGCCTCCCAAAGTGCTGGGATTATAGGCGTGAACCACAGTCCCCAACCCTATTTGTCTTCTTTTAATCTGCAGCCAAGGAATCCCCCTTTAGCCATTTAAAAGAAAGCTATTTACTTAGTGGGCCAGAAGAGCTGTCACAGCTCCACAGAGATGATTCATTCTGAATTTTTTTTGAGACAGAGTCTTGCTTTGATGCTCCATCTTGATCTCAGCTCACTGCAACCTTGACTTCCTGGGCTCCAGTGAGCCTCCCACCTCAGCCTTCAAGTAGCTGGGACTACAGGCACGTACCACTACATCTGGGTAATTAAAAAAAAAATTTTTTTTTTGAGATGGAGTCTTGCTCTGTTGCCCAGGCTGTAGTGCAGTGGTGCGATCTCAACTCACTGCAACTTCCGACTCCCAGGTTCAATCAATTCTTGTGCCCCAGCCTCCTTAGTAGCTGGGATTGCAGGCACCCACCACCAGGCCCAGCTAATTTTTATATTTTTAGTAGAGAAGGGGTTTCACTGTTAACCAGGCCAGTCTTGAACTCGTGACTTCAGGTGATCCGCCCGCCTCAGCCTCCCAAAGTGCTGGGATTACAGGTGTGAGCCACTACGCCTGGCCAATTTTTGCATTTTTGTAGAGATGGGGGTCTCCCCATGCTGCCCGGGCTGGTCTTGAACTCCTTGGCTCAAGTGATGTGCTGGCCTTGGTTGGCCTCCCAAAGTGTTGGTGTGAGCCGCTATGCCTGGACTGACTGAAAATTAAAAACAATCTCCTGCACTTGCAGAGAAGGAAGGATCCATCTTACGTCAGATTCTCCTTTGACATTCTGGTTTTTTTCTTTTTCCTTTCCAGTGCTGGCCTCTTAAATGTAGGCAAACTCTAGTTGGTCTTTGAAATTTAGTGGAAGGGAAAAGGGTGGCCTTACCTATCTGAAATTCAGATCCTGGGAATCCCTTTCTTTAGTGCTTCCCTCCTCCAAACTGTCCTCCAGGCTACTGCTGGAGGGATTTTTCCAAAGCACAGTTCTGATCTTCTGGCTCAGAAATCTTTTGCTCCTTACTGCCAACATGATAAAGCCCAAATTCCTTAGCTGGGAATCATAAACTGCCACAAGTCCCCTTTTCAGCTTCTGATTGAATGAGCTGATTTCAATCTAAGTTAAATCATTGAATGGCCTGGGCACAGTGGATCATGCCTGTAATACCAGCACTTTGGGAGGCCGAGGCAGGTGGATCACCTGAGGTCAGGAGTAGAGACCAGTCTAGCCAACACAGTGAAACCCCATCTCTACTAAAAATACAAAATAAAAATTAGCTGGGCATGGTAGCTGGCACCTGTAATCACAGCTACTCAGGAGGCTGAGGCAGGAGAATCGCTTGAACCCGGGAGGTGGAGGTTGCAGTGAGCCGAGATCATGCCATTGCACTCCAACCTGAGCAACAAGAGCAAAACTCTGTCCCCCCAACCCCCCCAAAAAATCATTGAATGTGGTTTACCTAGGATTAGTTTCAGTGAAACCCCAAATATGAGGGCCTGAATCAGACAGACGCTTATTTCTCATGTAAAGCAAGTCCTGTGGTAGGCAGTTGGGGATTCTGGGGATCAGGGAGCCAGGCTCCTTTGATCTTGTTGCTGTCCTATCAACACAGTCAAAGATAGCTGGGCAAACTCCAGGAATCGTGTCTGTATCCCAGCTATAAGGAAGGTAGAAGAGAAAGGAAAAGGTACGGGATGCAGGCCAGCTATATTTTAAAGAGTTTCCTAGGCCGGGCACGGTGGTTCATGCCTCTAATCCCAGCACTTTGGGAGGCTAAGGCCAGCGGATCACCTGAGGTCAGGAGTTTGAGACCAGCCTGGCCAACATGGTGAAACCCTGTCTCTACTAAAAATACAAAAACTAGCTGGGCATGGTGGCGGGCACCTATAATCCCAGCTACTAGGGAGGCTGAGGCAGGAGGATCACTTGAACCTAGGAGGCGGAAGTTGCAGTGAGCTGACTCCATTCAGCCTGGGTGAAAGAGCAAGACTCCATCTCCAAAAAAAGAGGTTCCTAAGAAACTGACACCTAACACCTCTGCTTATATCACTTGGGGCAGATCTTGTTAGCTGCAAGGGACACAGGGAAATGGTGTTTATTCCAGCCTACCATGTAGCCACCTAAGTTGTAGGTTTTAATTCTCAGGAAGAGAATGGGGAAAATGAGACAGTTCTGACCTAAATGCCCTCTCTCTATAACTACCTAATGTGGTCTCTTAGTCTGTAATGCTTGTCACCCTTCCCTGAGTAAGTTATGATCATTCTTTAAAGACCAGCCCAAATATCACCTCCAGACCCCTAAACATACAAGGAATCATTCACTTCACTGTTCTCAGGACATTCTGCATGTTCCTCCAGATCCTGAAGTGTGATGTTACGAACCTTCCTGTGTGCCTGCTCTTAGAGTGGGCGCCAGGGTCCTGCTCCTTCACCAGGACTGAGGCTCACCACTCCCCCTAAGCCCCACCCTTATGAATTCCCTTTTAAGAACCTAATCTTTTTTTTTTTTTGAGACAGAATCTCACTCTGTTGCCCAGGCTGGAGTGCAGTGGCGCCATCTTGGCTCACTGCAACCTTCCCCTCCCAGGTTCAAGTGATTCTCCTGCCTCAGCCTACTCAGTAGGTGGGACTGCAGGCATGCGTCCCTATACCCGGCTAATGTTTTTTTTTTTTTTTTCGTAGAGACAAGGGTTTTACCGTGTTGGCCAGACTGGTCTCAAATTCCTGACCTCAAGTGATCTGCCCACCTCAGCTTTCCAAGGTGCTGGGATTACAGGTGTGAGCCACCACATCCACCCTAAAGAACCTAATCTTGGCCGGGCGCGGTGGCTCAAGCCTGTAATCCCAGCACTTTGGGAGGCCGAGGCGGGTGGATCACGAGGTTGAGAGATCAAGACCATCCTGGTCAATATGGTGAAACCCCGTCTCTACTAAAAAATACAAAAAACTAGCTGGGCGTGGTGGCGCGTGCCTGTAATCCCAGCTACTCAGGAGGCTGAGGCAGGAGAATCGCCTGAGCCCAGGAGGCGGAGGTTGCGGTGAGCCGAGATCGCGCCATTGCACTCC